GACGGGAGCACACTCCCGTCTTTTCCTCTCCGCTTCGAGGAACAGGGCATGACCCTTCCCACATTGCACCTCTCCCCTTTCCTACCATATCACCCTCCTTCTCACTCCCTGTGTTTATCAACACACAAGTTTAGCAATAAATCATTGCTTGTGCGTATTCTCACATGACTTTCACAGCTGGGATCATAAGCATATAGAGTGATGATTAACGTACGTGATCACCATATAGGCACATGTGTCACAGCATGAAGCAGTGATCTCACTGTCCTTGTTTGTCATATTATCCTCATTGTTTTTATTCTTGCTCCATCCTTTTGTTTTTTTTTTGTTTTTTTTAACCTGTTTCATGTTTTCAGTGCTAGATGTCTGAAACATGTGTCTGGACTGTGCAACAAAGATAGATAAAGTCTGACTTTGTTCTCTTCTCATAAAGGAAAGGAGTGCCCCGGGCCGTGCTCCATTTATGCTGTGCACACATGTCCTTACATACATGTCTTGTACATGTGACACCATTGCTCACACAGGTAGTATTTATGAGTGGATGTGTAAAAATCTGTGTGTTTGTGACCATGACAACATGCAACCACTCCTTCCCCTTAACCACTGAGGAAGATCTTGAGGCTCAAGGGACTCATCAACCATTAACTCATAGCTATTTAAAGGAACTGGGTGAGAGTTCATGTCCTCAAATTATTGTGAAAACTCATGATTCTAAAAACAGAAGCATGTATGGAAGCAGATGCATACATAAAAAGCATTACAGCTAAAAAAAAACAAGGCAGGTGCTCTATCGCTCTTTGTTTGGCTTTTCCCATGTGCTTATGTATAGCCTTCTAACCAGCAAACACAGCAGATGAAACGTTGTTATCTCAAGAAAGCTGACCTGGAGATGCATACATGGACAGATGTTGATTTTGTGTCCATTTACATAAATATCAGTCATCCATCCAACTTGGTGTCACAGAGCCTGTGGCAGCTAATAGTGGGAGGGTATACTCTGGATAGTCAAAGGAGCTTGTAAAGAAAAGCGTCTGGACTTCTTTAAGTTGCTTGAAGACCTTTCACCTCTCATCCGAGAAGCTTCTTCAGTTCTTCAGTTCAGTTCTGAAGCTTCTTCTTTAAGAAGCAACTTAAAGAAGTCCAGACGCTTTTCTTTACAAGCTCCTTTGACTACGATGACCTGGATGACTGAGAACCTTCACAGACATATACTCTGGACAGGTTGCTAGTCTGCTGGAGGGCTCACACAGAGAGAAGAGCTGTATCTTGAGGGGAAATCCATGCAGGGACAGGGAGGACATGCAGACTACAGACAGTAAGGCCTAAGCCACCCAGGAGATTAGAACCAAGAACCTTCTTGCTGTGGCATGTCGGTGCTAACCACTGCACCACTGTGTCGCCACCAGTGGCTTGATATGTATTGTGATAAAGAAGGCAAATGAATGTTCCTTTGTTTCATTTTTATAATACAACAGTATCTGATTGACAGCTTATTTGATTATGAAATCCAAAACATTTCCTGCTCATAAAAAACTAGTATTACCAGATTGCCCCCCACCCCTTAAAAAATGAGCTTGCAAAAATGTATTTCTGACATGTAAATTCTTCTGTCTTATATGTTGTATGATGAACGTATGCATCTGTGTTTAGCTCTCTGCCTCCAAATGCCAGCAATATAACTCAGTAGTGTGCTTTATTTAATACGTTGAGTAGATCAGTAAGATAGAATATGGTCTTCAGAGACAGAGTTCTTGAGTTTAGGTTGCCCTCTTCTCACTCAAACAGTTCTCGCTCTTTCAGCAAGCGAGAATTTTGTTTGTTTGTTTGTTTCGTTGTACTCTAACTGTCAAAAGTCAAATGTAAAACAGTTCTTGCATGCACACTTACCCTTGCAAGAAAATCCGAGAAGGGCATCCAGGAGATGTTTTAGAAAGATCTTGAGCACATGGAAAGGAAACACTGCAGACATCGCACAACTTTTGCAACAATTTTTTTCAACCAAGGCGATGTCTAGGAAGAGCAGTCAGCCAGGACTAAGGTTTCGAAACATCTGCTGATCCCTTTGTACATCGTTTCCCATTTCTTATTTGTCTTGCAACATATAAGCAACAAACAAACGCAGCATATTGTGTATGCGTCCTTGCACATCTCACTATGTTTAATACGATCAAGAGCGTCCAGTGCTATAGGAGCCGCACTGTCATTTGACACAATGAAAACATATTTTGAACATCGCTGTGTGTACAGATGTGTGTGCATGGGTGATTCTGCCAAGCCATTGCACAGAATGACAGCGACCTTTTCAACGTTATAGAGTCATATGAGCAAAAATATTTGGTATATAAAAATAAATATATTTTTACTGGGACCCAGGCCAAGCAAAATGTGGTTACTCATTATGATTGTTGAGTGGATAATAAATAGAATAATATTTTAAGGATAGCTGATATGATGACTGATCAGCGGAAGGGATACTATGAGCAAAACCAAATGCATCTGGTGTTGGCAGGGCGATGTTGTATGACTGCTGTTGCACAAGTGAGATATATTATCGTTAAAAACCAAACTGATTAAAAATGGGGAGAAAGAAGTAAACTAGTACAGTGGTCCCTTGCAATATCGCAGTTCACCTTTCGCGGCCTCGCCGTTTTGTGGATTTTTTTTAGTGCAATTTTGCATGCTTTTTTTTTTTTTTTTTTGATAGAGCGCATTGTGTTCTGCGTCCCGATCGGCTGTAGACCATTGTCAATCAAGCTCCTCTGTCCCGTGTCTCCTGTCCAGTACAGAATGCATTCAGCTTGTCAAATTTACATAAATCATCGATCACTAGCAGTGTCTCTGAAGTTGGTTTCATTCTATAATACTGGAGTTATTTTTCTACGAAGGTTTGAACTTTGAGAGTGTTTAAACAAGAGAGAAAGATGTAAAAATGTTCATGCCTGTCTGAGAAAAGTGTATAAAGTGTGTAGTGAGGGGTTTTACAACCTAAAAACATCTATAATAATTGTAAAAAAATAAAGCTGACTTTGTGGATTTTGCCTATTGCAGGTTATTTTTAGAAAGTAACTCCCGCGATTAACGAGGGACCGCTGTATTATCTCACTGGAATAAATAATTTTTTCACCTAATCTTATCAGTCTGCAGCTAAGAATTAAAAGAGTAGTTTAACATTTTTGGTAAAACAGTCTATTTATTGTTGTTACAGCTTATGATTTACATTTCTCCAAGTAGTGACACATTTCATTTAGTAAGCTTTAGCGGTACTGGTAGGTGTTTTTATTTTTAGACATAGACATCCTTGATGCTTCTCCATTTCCTGTTTTCATGCTAACTTAAGCTAACTGTCTGCAAGTTCTAGCTCTTGTTTGATCATCTCAGTCAAAAATCACATCCTCTGAAATACCAAACTGGTCATTTAGGTTCATGTCGTAACCAGCTATGACACTAATCCACGTATTGACCAGTCATTCTCATGTGTGGTTTTCGCACATGTGTTCATAGTTTATAGCTAGTGTTCAAGCATGTACTACCCCGCCCTCACTGAGCTAATGCCACATTTGTGCTAGTTACATAATGCAGCTCCAAAATGTTTAGAGAGCTGGCAGCAAGAACGTAAGAACAATTATGCATTAATTATGCATTTTTCAGTGTAAACACTCAGAATGAACACAGAAATTAAGTATTATGCCACTTTCACTTTCGCATATGCAGATATGAAGTAGGTAATTTGCATATTGTGCCCCAGCGGGACAGTTGTTCTGACAAATCTGCCACATTGTGTTCTAATGTGTAGGTAAAGAAGATAATTTCCTACTGCAGTTCTTGGGTGTTTTTTTTTAGGTCAAATCAGTGCCATCGTTGCACCCTGGCATTTGATATAATGCAAGCCGAATCATAAACTATTTTAAGCTAGTACATCTCAACACCTTGGCTACAAAGACAAGTCTCACATTAAATTCACAATGAATAGCATCATTTTCTAATGATTGATTTCATATATACAAAGAAATCTCTGTTTAATATTGGTTAAACCAACTTATATGAGTATCAGCACGTATGATATATACAGAAACACGTATACCATGATGTACAAAGACACAAAACCTAGTCTCTTGATAAATGGAAAAACAGTTGTATGATATGGTCAGTGAGTCATTTTCGACAATTTCCCCCCACACACCTGAGGTTTCTCAGAGACAGTTTCAAGTTGTACCTGAGGTTTGTACCGTCAAAACTACAGTTCTCTGTCTCGTTCGAATTGTTAATCCCGGTGGTATATCGGCGAATGTGTGGGCAGCCACCTTGTAGTGTATGAGTTGTTAGATTAAGACGTGAATGGCCTCAAAAAATAAGTTATTTCACATGAAAAATGATATTTACAAGCACAAATGCTGCATTTTAAATCTGCCCAGTGTTTGTAAAATTCACTCTTATCTAACCATTTCTACATTTTTTTAAAGTATTTTTGCTTTATTTTGTTTTTTAATCTTTATAAGAACTGAAGACTTTAGTTCTTAGAAAATATTTGGGTCATTCACTATATTGTTGGAAGGACCGGTTGTTTCCTCTGCGCACACTCACTGTGAAAGTTTCAAACTAAACCACTCTCCTCCTACCTCTCCAGACTTGACCCTTAGGGCCAAAATGACAGGCTGTCAATGACTGTTTGATGTTAATATGCAAACAGAGACTCTGTCTCTGGATTTTTTTTAGTATGTCAATCACTTGTCTCTTTTTTGATATGCTAAATGCCTTTTTGGACATAATTTTTCTAGGTTAAGTTGCGATTTGTGCATTCTTGTGGAGTCACATGATGTACAATTGCAGATGGAAGCTGAAAGAAGAAACCACTTCTCTATTACTTGGCTTTGGAACGTGAATTTGGTCGAATTTCTCATAATGAGAGATGAAAATTTCAGTTCTTTCTTTAATATATAATTGAAACAGACAACAGATAAACTGAAATCAAACAGAATCTGTCTATAAACCAACTTGGAGTCACACAAGAAAAACAGTGTGCTGTAAAGAGCTGGAATAATCTATCAGTGCCATGTATTTGTGCATACAGAGACTGAACTATACAGGACATCTGTTGTATTGAGGAGTTTGCTACATTGTTGAAATCTGTTTAGATTAAATCTCAACAACAAAAGAGATAGTGAGCATCTGACCCCAGCTCATGAGGTTAAACAGCGGTGCTTTTCTTGTAAGAAATCAAATCAGGGAACTATTATTTTCATGTTAATGTTCTTGGGTTAGAAATTGCATGAGGAGCGAGTGCGTCACCATGGTCACATCGACACTGAGTGACTGAGCGGAGGGAGAGAAGTGCAACCAAAGAGGCATGATGAGCTTGCCTGTCAGTGTGTAGCAACAGGAAATCATCTGCATCTGATGTCTACCACCTCACACACACACACACACACATACACACACTTAGACACATGAAACTAGAAGAAAAACTGTATACAAGAAAACAACTTGAAGCACATGGCCACACATACACAAATATGCACTGTCTATTTAATACAGCAGCGACATGCGCACATAAAAATATATAAAAATGAATGACACATATAAAACTGACAATAAAACCACACACACAGACACACACACAGACCACATGATAGTTTGCTGTCTGAACTTTTGCTGAGCCCAGACTCTGTCAGAAGGAGAAAATGTGTGTGTAGTTCCCTTTCTATTGGTCATCACTTCCTGAGGAAAAACATGACCACACACACACACACACACACACGCTCACTCACAGTAGTCTCTGCTCCTGTCACTGCCACTGTCACTTCTTGGTCATTTAGCGGACACTGAAGACTCTGAACCAAAACAGGAGAAGCAGGGTGAGTGGACCGTGCTGTACCCCGTGCGCGCGCGTGTGTGTTGCTGTCATTCGGTTCATTATCTTGTCTGAACATTAGCTGCTTTGGATAGCCTTAATAAACCAACAAGTACAAAGACCAATCATGATCAGGAAGCTGCAGTTAAATCGTACATGTAATCGTGGCATCCAGTCAGTTATGTGCGAGCAGACAGCAGCACTGATCAGTGCGATACTAGAGGTCAGCCAGTTTTATTTGATTTGCCTTGACAGACTGTTTATCACTTTATGGACATGTTTTGGTGTCTAAGCAAGATTATTGCGATATTTGGTAGCATCACTGTGTGTGTAGTAAGAGCACCAATTCAGATTTTTTTTTTAAAAATGTGTGTGTGGGGATGTATTTCTGCTGCTAATGCGAGACTCCTTTCAATAGAACAAATTAAAATTATGATTAGCAGGACATTTTAGGATTAGAGAACAGCCTCGGTTTTGTTTTGTTTTTGTCTCTTTTAAAGAGGGAGGTGCATTTTCTTTGATTTATTCGTACTTATGTTAATTTTGCCTCTCTCCTGATCTGACCTCAGGTTGACTTAGTGTTATCAGTGCTCAATTTTCCTAGCTTTTGAAGTTGAAACAAAAAAAAGAGAGAGAGACAAAAATCAAATTGAAATCAGAGAAAGGTTGTCTGGATGCTGTTTTACTCAGAGCTGTGCCAACCAGACAAAACTTGTGGTTTCTAACCTCCCACTGTGTCAAACTTTGAAGATTTCTGGTGAGTAAATTCAGTACCAACCAAGTATGTGGGTTTTCAGACAAGAGGAGACTCTCGATTCTACTGACAGGGCAGTCCAAACCTCTGCCTGACACCTTGGGTGCACATGGTTTTCCATCACTCTCCTGTTTGATCGTTCAGGTGCAGAGGGGGAGGCCCTTTTCAGGTAATTCTGTCCACTGTGGCTTCACACCACCAGAATTTTTTTTAATGCGTATGATGATGATTTTTTTTCTTTCTGGGTATTTTTTTCTTCTTTTTTTGCATTTGAACTGCATTCGGCCTTTTAAACTTTGCTGGGGTTTTTTAAGTACATCTCCTACCATCTCATATTGTAAACTAGATTGCTTAGTCAAATAAACCACAATATTTTTTACAATGCATGCTTTTTCCAGTGTCCCACAGCTTCCTTATGCAGGACTATCGAGGCAAAACTAAAGCGCACTAATCTTTTCAAAGAATTTGTGGGGACTGTGCAGACGTGCAGGCGGGCATATCTTTGTTTTAGTCACTGACAGCGAACCACATACTGTTTTACATGAAGAGGTCAGGAAGTCACAGAACTCTCTGCACTAACTCTCTTTCTTTCTCTCTCTGTCGCACTTCAACGCATTCATGTGCACAGAAAAGCTGGTAAAATAAACAGCTTACTGTGCAAGAAAGAAAGAAAGAAAGAAAAGAGGAAAAGAACGCTCTCTTCTACAGGGGAAATACTCTGCAACATGTCACTTTATCGTCAGGATCTCATAAAAGCAACGGCTAGAAAACTGTTAGACTGTTAGACTAAGGTTTGTTTAGTAACTATGCAGCTCTTCTTTGTAGTGCACGTCTATATTTATCTATTTTTCTTCACTTAGCTGTGATATATGAAAAAAAACTTGTTGCTTTTTTTTTTTTGCAAGAATTTTTTTTCAGCTTTCATGTGGAAACAGAATATATTTCCAGCCACATGTGTTGAATGAGAGATTGCCTGGTTTGATATGCGTGGTTCAGCCCTCGCCTTCAGACAAGTTGAATAGTTTTTATTCAAACAGCAAAGATAAGAGTGTTACTCCCTTGAATGTAGCAGGGCAGGTTCTCCCTTTACTAAATATATGAGGCTGATTTCTGTGTTAACGTCTCTCATGTTCTTAACCGCTCTTTACTCTTGCCTGACTTATGTTGAATAGCACTCTTGCTGGAGTGCTGTTAAACACTCAAAAAGAAGAATTATGATGCTGGATCTTTTCTGACTGTAGGGGTTTTTTCTTCTTCTGCACATTTTGCATCTTTAAGTGTTTTTGTTACGCTTTGCTAGTAGTGCTTTAAAAGGTAAGTAAGAGGCTTGTTCCCTTGATTGTCAAAACAGCGCTCAAAGCTATAGACAGGGCTTTAAATGCTTTCTGTGAAGTAATCTGATCTCTTGCATTTTCTTCATTCTGTTTTGGACCAAATTATTGGCACTGTGAAGAAATATGAACATTAAAAAGCATCACATTTGTTTTGCAACTCGGTCCCTGAAGGAAAGATTTCACATCTCTCAGTCTGACCCCCTGTTTTTCCCTCTTTTTTCCAAAGTTGCTGCATCCAGGCTGCGAAAAAACAACACGACACTCAACTCTTAAAGTTAACATTTTGGTCTTGCTGTTTCATGTAATAATAGCTTCTCTCTCCTCTAAAGTAAGTGGACACTTCTTGTCCCTGTTTGTATGAGCTCATTTCGCAGAAAATGCTGATGTGTCTCACTGTGTGTTTGCTCCCACACACACTGTCTGGCTTGTTCAGGTACAGCAGCCTGCCAGACCTGCCTGCCAGATTGCCGTTGGGCCTTTGTTATTAGGTCGCGAGTTAGGCAATAGCCAATAGAAAGTACTCCTACACACTGTACTCTTACGTGGAAATCAAGTTCTGACTTGTGGAAATTTGAGAACTGGCAGGAAACAACTGTCACACATGCTCACATGTACACACCTTTTGAAACATACTGCGTGTCCCTCACTAGTCATCCCTCACTTTATATAAACTCTGACAGGTTGCTTTCCCACAAACCAGTCTGATAAAATCAGGTTAATTTGGTTGCTTTTGCACTGTAGCGTTTCCAAGAAGAGGAGCTATAGGGAAAAAACTTTTTACCGTTGATTGCAACATAATTTAAGCACCTTGGTTTATCTGCCACTCTGCAGCCTCCTTCCCTTTTTTTTTTCCCATGTGGTGGTGAGCACAGAGCATGAATTTCCTAAGATAAGAGTTTTTTCAAAGTCTCAGGGGTCCAGCTTGATTTCTTTTGGTGGTCTGGGAACTCGCTCTCTTTCACCCTTCCTACTTTATCTCTCTTGCCTTTTGTCAGAACTCACTCTCCTGCTAATTTTCTGTGTCCTGATGACTTCATGCCAACGAGAGCGCAAGTTGCTCCGGTGCTATTTTAGCTTGAGATCAGCTGGCAGCCGGCCAGCATATGGAAAAATATCCAGGTTTCTCTGTTTATTAATAGTCACCAGCTTCCAGGGCAGTGGAAGTTACAGCATGTGGACACGCAGATGCCTTCTCTCACTCGCTGTGAAACAATGTCACAGTTGATGTGAATTTTAAGTGGACCCCCTATTGATTTTCGCCACCACATTCCAAACAAGTAGAGAGGAAACAATATGCAGTTGAGGAGGATGAGGAGGATGTTTGTTCCACAGGGATGTTGTGCCAAGTAATTTGGAGCCATTTCAAGCCATTTTTATAGCTGGTGCTACTGTGCCACCTGAGTATTGCTATTTTGGCTTTGTCCTGTTGCATCATTTGTTGTATTCTTTTGTTACACTTATTTTTTTCCAAATTAGGCAGTAAAGGTTGATGAGCGGAGGGAGGTTTATTTTGAGATTTGGTGGTGATTGTGAAAGGTTGTTTGGAAGGTCACTGAACTTTTTCCTCTATTGATTATTTATAAATTGCCTGCTGTCCTCTGTGTTTTTTCAGTCTCTTCGGTTTAAATCAAGGTCAGAATTTCAGCACAGTCCTGTCACAAGCACAGGAAATATATCCAGTTTTCATTGCTGATGTTTAGAAAGACGCCGGATCGGCCTTTATCTTCCCATCATAAACTAGCAAAAATAAAGAAATCTAACAGACTGTTAGACTATGGACCCCACTGTGCATTGAGTCAAGTGTTACTTTAATCCAGTGAGTATTAGCACGTAAGATAATTTGACAATAACACAGCAACATGAAGAAAGTAGATACCCACTAGTGTAGCAGTGGATATGAGCTAAATATTCACATATAGTCATTTCTACCATAAAAGTAAAATTGGAAATAAATAACATTAAAAAGTGCAGTACATATCTGATTTAAATCTGCCAGTATATATTTGGGGTCGCTCTCTTTTATGAATCAGAATCAGAAAGGGTTTTATTGTCAAATGTTGAGCGGGTTTACAACATTAGGAAATTGCTGCAGTGCTTTTATGGCATGCAATCTGCCCCCAGTGTGTACAAGTGTGTAGTAATAGTGCTATGATGCCATTTATTGGTTAAAGCATTTCTGCTCCTTCCATGTTGTTACTTGTTTTTTACATAAACCTCCTTAGTTTTGCTGTACAGTTGCATATTTTACCATAAAGCCAGAGCAGTGTCGACATTATGCTGAATTGTGCTGATAGATAACCAGATAACCTTCTGGTTAGCACGACAGCAGAGCATGTGCAGGTCAGACTTTAGGAAGTACTCCTAATTTCTCTTTAAAACTTGAAACAGATCACTCATCGGCTTGTGAAAGTAGTTTTAAAGCATGACCCCACTGGAAAATTACAAAAGAAATGAAAATGTGGTAAAAATATTCTGCGCTCACAGTCATCTTAACCTTTGGTGAGTTCACTGGTCCAATTCTTTGCCTAGAAAAAAAATCTATTCTGTCATTCTCCTGGTTTGCCTCTGTAGTCTATTACATTTTGGATATTTTTGCACCTTTTTTAAATGTGGCTAAATTTCTCTGCGAGGGTGTAGTTTAAAGTAGCTTGTTTATGCCTAAATTTGTTGTGTTACCTGTAAGGGTGGGCCGGTTTAGGTTTAGTAATGGTCTCTTTTAAATGGGTATCGCTGTGCTTGTTAGTTTACAACCTCTGGGCGTAGCCTGTGTGAGTACAAGTGCATTTCTTTATTTATTTATTGATGTATTTATAGGCAACACCAAAGTGACTAAGTGACTTGAGCCAAATGTCATAGTTGGTTACCCTCCAGTTAATACGCTCTAGTGACGACCCTGAACCAGAATCAGGAGTCCATTCAAGATCCTGTAGGTTCCTGCATTGCAGTCCTTTAAACTGTTGCTGTTTTCTAAACTCGTAAGACTTTTGTGCTGAAATTCTGACCTTTATTTAAACTGAAAGAACCAAAAAAAACCCCCACTGTGGGCACTTGGTATATAATCAATAGAGGGTAAAGGTTGATGAGCTGAACTACAGAAGCTGCCACCAGATCTCAAAATAAACCTCCGCCAATCAACCTTTAATGTCTGATTTTGATAAATATATCAGCCTCCCTGGGAAAGTCTATGCAAGGGTGCTGGAAAGGAGAGTTCGTCCGTTAGTCGAACCTCGGATACAGGAGGAACAATGCGGTTTTCGTCCTGGTCGCGGAACACTGGACCAGCTCTTTATCCTCTCAAGGATACTTGAGGGTGCATGGGAGTTTGCCCAACCAGTCTACATGTGTTTTGTGGACTTGGAGAAGGCATTCGACCGTGTCCCTCAGGGTGTCCTGTGGGAGGTGCTGCGGGAGTATGGGGTGTCTGGCCCGTTGCTATGGGCCATTCGATCCCTATACAACCGTTGCAAGAGCTTGGTTCGCATTGCCGGCAATAAGTCGGACTCGTTCCCGGTGGGTGTTGGACTCCGCCAAGACTGCCCTTTGTTACAGATTTTGTTCATAATATTTATGGACAGGATTTCTAGGCGCAGCCAAGTGGCGGAGGGCTTTCACTTCGGTGGCCTCAGAATGTCATCTCTGCTTTTCTGAGGCCATGGTGGAGTGCCCACTCCGGGTCGGGGATGAGTTCCTGCCCCAAGTGGAGGAGTTCAAGTATCTCGGGGTCTTGTTCGCGAGTGATGGGAGAAGGGAGCCGGAGATCGACAGACGGATTGGTACTGCAGCTGCAGTAATGCAGACGCTGCACCGGTCCGTCGTGGTGAAGAGGGAGCTGAGTGTAAAAGCGAAGCTCTCAATTTACCGGTCGATCTACGTCCCTACCCTCACCTATGGCCACGAGCTGTGGGTAGTGACCGAAAGAACGAGATCGCGCATACAAGCGGCAGAAATGAGCTTCCTCCGAAGGGTGGCTGGCCTCTCCCTTAGAGATAGGGTGAGAAGTTCAGCCATCCGGGAGGGGCTCAGAGTAGAGCAGCTGCTGCTCCACATCGAAAGGAGCCAGCTGAGGTGGTTCGGGCATCTGACAAGGATGCCTCCTGGGCGCCTCCTGGGGTTGGTGTTCCGGGCATGTCCCACTGGGAGGAGGCCCCGGATAAGCTGGAGGAGGTGGCCGGGGAGAGGGAGGTCTGGGCTTCTCTGCTTAGGCTGCTGATGGATATATATATATATATATATATATATATAATATATATATATATATATATATATATATATATATATATATATATATATATATGGTGTGTGTATATGTGTATATAGTTTGTTTTTGTTTTTTCAAATAAATATATTTAATTCTACTACTGGACAAAGAGTGGTCTCTAGTACTAGAAAAGCGTTGCATAAATGCACTCAAGTGAATTGTACTATCCTTAGCTAGCTGAACGTTTCCACAATGCGAGCATAGAAATGTGGACCTCAGTGGCTTATTGCGGTGCCAATTAGTTTCCCCTCCAGCGGGTGTGGTTTTCAGAGAATGACTTCCTGTCTTTATTTGTGAGCTTACTTGGAACTTTACCAATGAAAACTTCAAAAAACACACATTCAAGAAACCGCAGTTTTGAGCGTAAAAAAAAAACCCCATGTAACCTGTAACCTGTTTGCAACAGTCTGCAAAAGTCAAATTTTTTCCATTAATACTGCTTTTCTAATACATTATCATTCTCATACTGCGATTTAGAGTGGACGCTAATTGTTCTTCAGAAACAGTTTCATCTTAAAAGATGCGTTATGGCAGCATTTTGACCTGCTGTCGGTTGCTGTTGAGCAGTTTGACATTGTTTTGCAGTGATAAGATTGCTGCAGCGCAGAGCCAGGGATGAATTTGCATGTCATTAAATCGGTGGCAAAGGTTTAGATTTACAGGTAGGCCATTCTGAGAAAGTAATGTTCTATATAATTTTGATATACAGCGATGTTTGGGTTTTTTTTACAGGTTTAATAATTGCCAGGGGGACAAACTTCAACCCATATGAGTGGCTCATTTTAAAGAGCCACTGTCTGGGAAGGCCATTTAAATAGCCTACATCCTAAAAACAACATATTCTACAACTTGTACATTACATCAGGGCCTTGTGCAAAGGTAGCCAGGCTTATAAAGGCTTGTATGTGGTTTGCTTTCATGTGGACTGCAGTAACCTCGGACTAGCGGACTTTGATCATCTGGGCTTTTCTTTTTTCCTTCCAATCTTTGACCATCTGCATTAGAAACTGAAATGACACAAGAACTTTAATTTATTTATACTAACAACAAGCTGAATACCCAGAGGGAGCCTTTCAGTAGAAATCAAGAGATTGCACACTTTGCTTAGGAAAATGTTTTCTCAGTGTCAACAAATCCCATGAAAAAACATTAAGAACCAACAAAGACGTGGATCATACCCATTTGTCATTGTAGCCAAAGCTTTTTTTTCCCATGTAACTGTTAGCAATGATTAGAAACCCATCAAAATGCGAAATCATGGTCCTGGCTGCTGTACTTTGGCAAGTGCAACAAAGAAAAAACAATAAATGCACCTTTTTTAAGTTGTTTTTTTTTTTTTTGCTGTTGCTCCTTTTAAAAAATAATTTAATTCTCTGACCTTTTTCTGAAGATGCAGAAAAAGTGCAGTCTCAAAGTATGCAGAGACAGACAAAACATTCCAATGAATTAGTTATCAATTAGAAAAATAGTGGTAAACACCAACTGTTTCCTTTAATAGATTTGCACAAGATAAAATCTTCAGCAAAGGAAAAGTAAAATTCCTAGAAGTTGAAAAAGATACTGTTCAGTTTTTACCACCAACCCAGTCCTTAAGACCAGAGAAGTTGCCGAAGCTAAAGGCCTGCATCCTTGGCCTGCTTTGTGTGTCCTGTGGTTGGGCAATCGCACAGCAAGCACCCAAACAGCAACAGAGGAAGGCAGTGTTTTGAGCAGAAGAGACGTTCCTCAATGCCAGAGTTCATTTTGTACTGCCTGTGACACAATCAGTGTTCCCTGTTTACTAGATAACAGACACACTGCAGGAATGAAGTAAAGCACGACGGGTACTCCTTGTAGTGTTTTTAATGGAGTGTGTGCGCACGCCCAAATGTTTAGAATTTTTCTGAGAGGTCCTTTTTAATTATTAACAACTGTACAACAGTGCATGTGGACTTGTCTGCGTGTGCTTTTATTTTCATATACAGTTTTCTGCTTCCTTTTATTCTCAGTGGTTATTGTTTTTCTAATTATGTTAAGTTAAATTTAGCTGGCAACTGATTTTTGAATTAACTCGCATACTTGCCTTTTCTCTCTCTTACAGTAGACATGGTGGACACCCAGCAGCTCCTGGCCTGGCCTGTTGGCTTCAGTCTGAACACAGCAGATCTGCCAGAGCTGGAGGACAGCTCCCACTCGCTCGAAATGAAACATTTGTCCACGTTTGACTACGCCTCCATTTCCTCCTCCTCCATCCCTTCCTCCCTGTCTCCCCCGCTGGTATCCTCCATCCCTTCCGCTGGCGTGGCCTATGACCTAAGTCCACCGCAGAGTGAAGAACACCTGACCAACATGGACTACACAAACATGCACAGCTACAGGACACAACCAGACATGTTCAGTAAGCACATTGACCAGAGACGAATGATATAAATGTAAAATATACTTTAGGTGTAACAAAGCAAGCGGTGACCTGAATGAGATGTAGACTGAGATTAAGAGATGTGCTGCATGCATCAGAGTAACTATTAAAGGCAGTTATGGGTAACAGGATGCAGATTTATAGAAGCAAGGTTTAAGCAACCGAGTGCTGAACTTTTAAATGGATGTAAGAGGTGAAGTTTGAATTTTGTGTGCTTTCTGTCTGTCTTCCTTTCTGCGTGATGGTGTTTCTTGATCAGATTCCATCAAGCTGGAGCCCGAGTCACCTCCACAGTACTCAGATATTCCCGTGCTATCCAAGCTCCCAGACGATACGTCGGCGGCAGCGCTAAACATCGAGTGCCGCGTGTGTGGGGACAAAGCGTCAGGGTTTCACTATGGCGTCCACGCCTGTGAGGGCTGCAAGGTAAGGCTGAACGATCTCACAAAGGAAGATGAAAATGCCGATGAGCGTAGAAACATTTCAGATCGTCTCGTAATCTCTTCGTTAAATTCCTGTTTTTTGTTATGTCCAGGTAACGGTTTAAAACCTCTAAATATACAACGTGTTCTTAGAACAATCTTCACTGAGGTTTGTCATTGGTTACAATTTTACTAAACTGCACACAGCGGTTGATACGATTCATGTTTAAGTCAATTTGTGGATCAGTCGATACATTTTAAGCAGCGCTCCGTCTTTGCTCAGTTTTAGAGAGGATTTTTTTAAATGGTTTTCAATCATCACAGAAATGATTCATGTGTTAAATCATGATTCATATCAGTAGAGAGTGCGTTAAGTCTTTTTCTTAACAAGTAATGCTCAGATGATTATAAATCAGCAGTCATACTACTTTCAAGTCGTGTCAGGAAATGGTAATGGGTGTAACAATTTCTACTGCAGCTCTTTTCTCTCTCTGCCACTCTTTTTCTGTCACTGTGTGTCACCCGTCGGTGAAACTTGTTGGTGGAATAAATAATTCTATAATGCATGGAGAGAAATGTGCTTTTTTTTTCATCTTTTTGATGTCTGCCACTCTAACCACAAGCCCCATACATTTTCCACTCAGCGAGGGCTCAAGATAGGCGTGTGCTTCTTCAGACAGCCACCCATTTAAACTCTCTGTCTGTTTGTCTGTCTGTATAGAGTATAAATAACTAATAGAGTGTGGGTGAAGTTTCAGAAATATTTCCATTTTCTTTGAAATATTGACACATTACAGAAACATGAACATTTTTCTCCAAACACATATGAGATGGATTTTTCAGAATCGGCAGACCTGTCTGTGCATCTTTTGGTTTAGATCCAAGAAGCGTTTGCACGTCTGAAATCAAACTAATTTGAAAAGAAACCTTCACTCTGGCGCTTTCACAGAAAAAAGAAACTGAAATGCAGCAGCTTGTTACTGAGTAGTATGATTCAACTAGTATGATTCAAAGTGCAATACAAGAGGCCTACTATATATTGCTTACTTACTAGGAAAAGTCCAGCTGAAATATTTTGTAGTTTTGTAGGAAATAAAAATTTTGTGCTGTTTTCTGCCTAATATCATTTATTTATCTTTGTTAAAGAGTGTAATTATAAAACAGCCCACACTACAGCCCGCGCCACACTGGTTGTGTGGCTCATTTATGCTGGTTTAATAGTTTTCCATTTTAATAGGTGACTTATTCCTTGTTCATTACGATTAACTTCATTTCAGGCTGACATCACATGTAGTAAACACAAGCTACCAAGCCAAATTTAGTCTTAGTGAGGTTTTGCCTCCACGGGTAGCAGAGTCTATTTTCTATAGACATGTTCGTCTCTATTCTTACACACACAGTACACAGTACAGTGCTTACTGTTACAAGGCCACTGATACCACTCAGTGGCCTCGGTGCCCTCATCGCTCGTCAAGGTGAAGCTACGAAGCTTCCAAGGAGTGAACAGCTTCATGTGAATACAGACCGTGAAAGTAAACTTACAGACCCGCATATCTGTTTCATGACAGTTATTGATGGATTTATAATCCAAATGACTAAATTCAAAGGGTGAATGTGTCCTTATGAACACAAGAAAATAGTCATGCCATATTCATTCAGTATGAAATACTGTATAAGAAAAAGGGCTGATCAAAGAAGGGGGCCTTTTTTCAAAATAAGAGTTTTCACTAATTCGTGGACTCACTTTGTTTGCCTGCCTCACAAACGTCCTTCCAGTGGATCGTAACCGTGGATTTGTTTTTGGTTGGCTTAAACCCTACCACCCTAGAAGAATGAACAGAGCCGCAAGCTACGCATGATTTATTCAAACGATCAGCTTTTCTTATAAAATTTGGACTCGTACTGAACGACATAATGCTGACAGTATATTTTTTTGGCAGCTTGCATTGTAAAAACAATCAAAAAGAACACGACCACTGACAGTCACCTTGAACTCCACCACAGTGTTAAAACAGAAGCTCTTTGACACTGTTGCGGAACAAGGGTCTCTGTTTTTCTGCCGCCATAAGCTGTCACTCTGTTCCGTCAGGGGCTGAATGAAGGTGAGGGAGAGTAGTTATTGTTCTGCTGATGTCTCAGGGGAGACTCACAAGAAGAGGGGGGTCAGCCAAGCAGGCAAACACTTAATTGTTTTAAAACAGAAAACATTCTTTATTGAGGTGGAGTCTTGACCCCTTTTAACTTCCTTCTTCTATAAATAACCTACGATTAAAAAAGAAACATCTGTGGATCGTAGGAATGTAGATGCTTATTTGAAAAGCCTTCGCACAAAGTCCTGATGTCAGTTTTTATTCTCACTGAAAATTCGCCTTTCAGAAATTTGCAGCCCATAGGATTTTTTCTCCTTTTACACTGCTCAGGGTGTAGGAATGTATACTATAAGTCTGACCATGGCTACACATTAATAGGTGAGATAAGCTTCTTTGGTCCTAAGGTTGAAGACATAATGTGTAAATTTGCACAGTTAACTTTTGAATAGACTTGTTGGCCCAATGATTGGCTTCCATACAGATTAGAAAGAGCCAGGTGTCTTATCAGTATTTCTCAGTCAGTAGACACTGCGTTGAGCTACTTTTCCAGCAATTAACTTGATTCAGAATTTGAATTATTAAATGAAATGTTAAAACTTTTTTATGCCCCTCAATCCTTTTTGATGAAGGGATAAAAATATGCATTAGAATAGGGCTTATTTGAAAAAGAGTAGGCAGAGCAACCATAAGGACTGAAGTCACTACGTGTGTACTAATCGTATTCCTCTTTTTCACAGGGTTTCTTCAGACGCACCATCAGGTTAAAGCTGGTGTACGATCACTGTGATCTTCACTGTCGAATTCACAAGAAGTCGCGTAACAAATGCCAATACTGTCGCTTCCAGAAGTGCCTCAACGTCGGGATGTCACACAACGGTAAGCCGGTGGCATTCATACACACATTTTCATGACAGTCTGCACACAGTCAGAGCACACCTGGGTCGTATTTTTCATTAAACTCAAATATGAACTAAAAAAAAAGTTGAAGCTTCTGTGCATTCAATCTTTTTTTCATTTTCACATCCATCCCTCAGACAGGAATGAAACCCCCTATTTATATGTCTATAAATAAGCAGATGTAGGTAAAAAGACTGATTCTTCTTTGAAATTGAGGTTCAGGAAGCGCCTCTTCTCGGACTGAGTACTTATGCCCTTTGAGAGCCGCAGATGCGTGTTGACCACACTGCTTCCAATTTAGCCTTTGAGGTGTCATAGTAATGTGTGCAGAAATCTATATCACTGTCTTAGATGTTGCCAATTCTTTCATCTGTGGTCTTTGGCCATTGTTGCAAATCTTGGTTCATGTTTTAGTTCCCATCATTCGCGCAGTGTGTACCCGCCACCCCCCAGCTGATTCATATCACAGTAGAAATTCAAAGATGAGATTCTGGTGTATAGCTAACTATAACGCCTATCAAAAGTTCTAAATTTTGACCTGCCTTTGTGCTTTATTCAACAAAGGCCTGATAGTGACAGATATGATAGGTGTGAGTAGCACACCTATCAGAGGCATGCTACTCACAGCCTGACTGTTTTCACTGCATATCATCAAAAATGTGTTATAGCAATTCTGTCAGCGTTGCTGCTGTTTGAATGTGTGAAAAGTTGCCAGCTTCGGTTTTATTCGCACAAGCATTTGGCTGATTGTGTGCACTAAGTTTGTACATCAGCCACGTGAGTGGGTCTTTTTTAAAAGAGTTTTTAAGTTTTTAAAAACTGCATGTACAATTTAGAAAAAAATTAAAACACACATATGTTTGCCTTTCATGTACCAGACATTTGTACGTAGAGCTTTTTACTGAGATACAAGTAAACAGCTCTTAGATGACCTCACCATTTGCAAACTACTCCACAGAAGTACAATATGCAGAGAAACCGTCTACTTCAAAAGAAAAAAAATCTCTTCTTTCATCCGTCGCTTTAGAATAGTTTTGTTTTGTTAGCTTTTGTTGTCCAGTCAGGAGCATCAACAAGCACACCTGACTCCACCTCCTCAGCTGTGTTTCATTATGAACCTCGTGAGTAAATAAGTATACTCTGGCTATGTTTGATTGATGTCTTCCTGATTCTCCTGTTATATTTGTTGCACCTGTTAGGGTTGGACACGTTATGGCTCTTTCCCTCCTCGGCGCACTTGTAGCATACTCACTTCGGTGAGGTCGTAAAATTAAAATAACTCTGCAAATCATGACAAGTCAGAAAGCCCTGCTTCCCACAAAGATCGCTTCCCCATTTGCACTGAAAAAAGTGTGTGGGTTATGTAATTTATAATAAATAGTGAGCATGCATTAGCCATTATTTTGGTGGCTGTAACACCACCAAAATAATAGCTTTCCTGTCGATTGCAAACACAGATTTGAGCACTCTGATGAGGTAGGTTTGCCTGTTGCACAACCACTGGTTTAAAAAAAAAAAGAAGCAATGACAGCGACAGGAAATTCTCTCATACATTAGTGGAAGTGTGGCTACACTGAACTCTGTGGTCAAGTGGGCAAGAAGTTGACAGAACAGGAAATAACAAAAGCATTCATTTCATTCATTTCATTTCATTTATTTATTCATTTTCAGGCACAACAAATACCTATATTGAACATAAAATACACAAAACAAAAAACAAAACTTGCCTGAAAAAGGAGTGGGACGAAGAAAACTTATTAAATCCCACCCCTATACTCACTCATCAACAAAAAAAAACAATAAACTTCCCGCAGCTACGCCCATCATTGCATACAGACCCATCAACAGCCCCGGGCAGATACAAGCATCTAAGCGGCAGCTCGCAACCAACAATTAGAGCCTTCATAACTGAATACAGAATATATAAATTATAAATTGCATTACCACAGGTAACAGGCAGTAATAACTACAAGTAACAGACACACATACATATACATACATATATATCTACACACACAAGTACATATATGTACATACATACGCACACTTTATTTTTTATTTTTTATTTTGGAATCCATACCAGCAATGGTAAGAGGACAGACATTACAGAGCACACTAAAACCCATCATTGAGTATACTGTGACCAGACCAACTGTTTGTAGAGAAATTTAAATCTATGAATATTTTGCATTGTTTCAATTGTAAACTCAGACTGTTCCAGATTTTCACATGATGGTAAATTATACAACTTTTATCAAACACTGATGTTGTTGCTGCCCTGTCATTGGCCTTGCACTTGCTGAAGCTTACCATTTTTGTATTTGGCCATATTGCTCTAGAAACAAGCAGAATTCCCCCTTTCAAAGCAAACAAGGTGATCTTTGAAGAGCTCCGAATAATCCTGCTTCTCAGGTAAATTAATGGGGGCTGCACTTAAGACTTAATTAGACAAACCACTGAAAACACTGGCATGCTTGCACGGTATCGTTGTGCTGCATCCAGAAGAAGTCTTTTTTTCCCCCTACTTGACAGCTTGTAATTGCAGCGTGTTAAAAACAGTATGACACTGTAATGGAGACCAGGAGCTCAAAACCTTCTGAATGATTGATACTGGAATCACTTAAGTATTTTTTAAGTGGCACTTTTTTTAAGGGGCAGTTGGACTGGAAGGTGAATGAACACAGAGGAGATGGCCATCTACCAGAGTTGAAAAGAAAGCCTTAATCAGAACTGTTCACAACTTAAATTCTGTTGTATAGTGCATTAAAAGAGTGTGTCTATATATATATATACATATATATGTTAACAGTACTCAGTGTTTCTTTAACAGGATGTAAGAAAAAGCAACTCAGTCACCTGCTTACGAGGCCCAGGGACAAACCAAAGTAACATACCGGGGGAGTTTAGTCATTTCTTATATGTGTAGTCATTTAAAGCATATGTAAACAGACTGCTTTGGATAGTTGGATAGTTCTTCATTTGGTTTTGTTACAAACTTAAGCCATTCCAGATAAAAAGGAAACTAGCTGCATTTAGTGGTTTTGTTAGTTCTGCTCTAATAGTAAATATTAAAAAGTTGATGAATAAATTTTATTACAGCCTGATGCCTCTTTGGTGTCAGGAGTCTTGACTCTGAAGAGTGAGGTGAATATTAAAAGGTGGGGGGGAAAAAGAATGATTTTAATGAAGTGGTAGATGATGGTGGAGGTGCCACAGCTTACTTAGCCAGTGGGCTAGAGCAGGAGGCAATCCTGACCATAGACTGCATATGTGGGCAGATGCAACCTAAATAGTGAGAAATGGCATATTTTACCAAGACTGAGGCCATAGCTTGATTATTTGCTACCTTGGGCAGGCCATCTTGGGGTTTGTCCAGTCTGTCAGACATAGCAGCTTACCTCCACCAAATAAGTTCCCCAGTTCAGCCATTGCCCATCATAAATACACCGATTGTAAGAACAGGAACAGGTTTAAGTCATCCCTTGAAAGAAGCTCACCTGGTAACTCATATATATTAGTCTGGTAACTGTTACATGTTAGTCATTTGTAACTGTGCTGCCCACTGTCCTAAAGCTTTGCCCCTGTGATGAGTAAAAGCCAAATTATCTGCTGTGTTTTTTTTCTAGGTAGGCATAGAGAGGTGGGGACAGATTTTATATCCAAACTTCTACAACAGGTTTATCACCTACTAGGTTTACATACCACCTCTAGTCAAAGCGTTACAGCATGACCCCGAGGAAGATGCTGCACAAATTTGACAATGGTTCAGTAATTCAATTCATCACTGAAAACACTGGCATAGGTGCGTGGCATCTGTGTGCTGGATTCAGAGGCTGAGGAAACAAGCTTTTCCTACTTGGCAGCTTGTAACTGTAGTTTATTGAAAACAACATCACATTAACGCAGATGTGATCTTATCTCTAAGAGTTTGGTGTCAGAGTAATTATACATTACAATCTCACAGTTTCATGACCAAAAGGTTCTTAATTCAAGCTTTTTTTTTTAAACCATGTCTCCTTTATCTAACTAATGACCTTATTGCTGGTGCCAGTTAGCACGAAAGGTTTTGTCAATCATCATGGCAAAAGTCGGCTGGACTCGTTGTCACATTTTAATCTTAGAAGTGACTTAAATTCAACAACATTATGAGCATCTGCTATCAATAGATATATGTTTTTTTCTACTTTGCTGTTGCTTATCTCTGCGTCTTTCTCTCTACCTCCACCTTTTCTGATATCACTCTGGTGTAATAGGTATAGCTGGAGTTGTGTGGGTTTTTGTTTAATCAATGATTGACTTGCGTTGAACTGATTTCTCCAGTTTGCTGTGTCACTGCCGTGGGCGCGGTGCCCGGTGGTAGAGCCACTTTAGTTTGTATGCATTTGCTTAGGGTGTGCAGTCAGCATTACATAATCACGTACACACTGCAGTAAATTCAGAGCTGGGAATGAAATGGAAATAAGGAATAATGACTTCCACTAACAGAAAAAGAATGGTCACACCTTGGTGTCAGATTTCTTAGAAGAAAAAAAAAAAAGACATCCACATCAGCCATGTTACAACCACAGTGCTGCTTTCATGTACACGCAGCAGGGCAAGGGAAGCATTCACTTGAATGCTGGTAGATAGATGTGCCGTTACCTCCTGCTTTCAGCCGCCAGTGGACCATTTATTTCTGTGGGGGTTCACAAGTCACATCTTGCAGGGTTTTTGTCTTTTTTTTATGTGTTGTTTTTATTTTGTTTCTAATTTTACAAAACATGGGTTGCATTTTATATTCATTGACAGATATCAGACCTTACTGCTTTACAAAGTTACAAAGTCTAAAACTGACACGTAGTATTCAGAGAAATTGTCAGCTTGTAAAACATTTTGTCACATTCAGCATAAAATAGAGGCTGACTATAAAATTTGAAAAGTGCAATGCAACTCTAGTAATATAAGATAATTTTATACAGGTATATTTTTGATCAAATGAAATATAATCAATATATTTAGTTAAGGGGCATAAAATACACATAATTTTATCAGGAGGTAAATAATTTTGCATTCTGTGAAAATTACATTAATGCAATGAAAGCTGTTACATTTCAGGTCTGTTTTTATTATATTTTATTTTATTTAACCTTTTTTTATACAGGTAGTCCCACTGAGACTCAATACTTCATTTACAAGAGAATATATTTATCTCAGCTGAATCCTAAAATAAATACCTATTCAACAAACGACTCATCTTTCAGTGAGCTGTGAAAACATCGGTCCGTACACAATATCAGAGTCAACAAAATGTTCTAATTGCCTCATAAGACACACCTCAAAAATCACAGCAGAATCATTTGTCATCTTTTGATGCCACTGGATTTTCCCTTTCATTGAAGAAGCCATGAGTCATATGACTCATGTGACTTTTTAACATTCAGAAATCTTTGAGTTATTAGAGCAACTCGGACAAGTTTTCCATTACTTAAACTCCAAGCTTGAAATATTGTGACATCGCAACGGTTTAAAGAGTAGTTACCTAACATTGGCGTTGTTGCATATCAGGTAAAAGAAACACGTCCCCTGTCTCAAATGAAATGTCCCACATTTACATTTCATTCTTTGTTCACTGGGGTTTGTAGTGCTTCAGTGTGCCGTAAAATCTTGTGTGTTTGCTCTAGATGGGTAATTCTGTTGACATTAGCTGTTCAATTTGATTCATTGCTCATTGATCAAATATTAAAGATGTGATAAAGAAATTAAACATTCTAACAGAAGGTAAATGGGGTGATGAAAAAGGTATTTAAAGCCTTTACTTAAGCAGATATTGTACTCCAGTGACTTCAATATAAGTATAAAAAATTACCAGCTTTTAATAAAGTCAATTTTTAAAATTTTTCATTTACTTACGTAGAATATTGTTTATCAACTGGTCTGAAATAACAGGGAATGGATTTCAATCACAAGACAGATTTATTTTTGTGTATGCTAATCCATCACATGTAGTCACTTCCAAAAATGACCTTTTTGAGCGGGAAAAGGCTGGGATTCATTCATGTGTACATGGCTACACATGAATGAGCATATTGTACTTGATGTTACAATCTGATACACAAATAAATAGTGTTTTACTTCTGTTAAAGCTAGTTTACTAAAGGAAAAATGTAGTTTAGAAATATTTTTTAGGGTTCCCCATGTTCTTTGAATTCATTATTCAACTTTTCAGCCTAACTTGTGTTTTGTAGAAGTGAAGTAGCACATGGTAACACGTGGTTTGAGGTCGAAATGTCAGTCAAAATGGTATTAATTCAAACTGGGACTTTTGAGGTCGCGTGACTCCAATAAATTGACTCAGGCTTCAGGTTTTGCGTATTTGCTGTGCACATGTGATTATGTCTGTTTTTCATGGTTCACCAGAGTGTTCTTCTGTTTCCTTTCCCAGCTATTCGTTTTGGCCGAATGCCTCAGGCAGAGAAGGAAAAACTGCTAGCCGAGTTCTCATCTGACATGGAGCACATGCACCCGGAGGCAGCAGATCTGAGGGCTCTGGCCCGGCATTTGTACGAGGCCTATCTGAAATACTTCCCTCTCACCAAGGCCAAGGCCAGGGCCATCCTCTCTGGGAAGACCGGAGACAACGTGGTAAGCAGCACTCTCTAAATTCTCATTTGCTTTGATTCGGATGCGTACAAAATCAGCAGACAGATAGCGCTCAACATTGGCATTCTCAGGACAGAAAATAGATCAGAAAAAAACTGTATATGAGCACTGCTGCTTAATATTAGACCAGCATTTGAACTGATAAGATATTTGCAGGTGTGCATGTGGTTTCACTTGTCTTTGCATTCCAGGGATATATCAACCATCTACATATACTGAACGTTCTCAACTCGCTGATGAGAGCTACTGAGCCAGTTTCTCTTTCCTTTTTGCTTTTTCTCCACTAAGAACGACATCTACAGCACAAATTTGACCTATATATATTTTTTATATCTCCCATTCTGGAAACTATCACAAGCAAGGATGACATTAAACAGAGTCAAGATCATACTGAACAGGCCAGGGTGAAAAATCCATAACTTCATGCAGTATTTTACCAAAATTCAGAAGTAGGACATAGAAAAAGCCTTACTGCTTTAAATTTAGTTAGAATTGTTATTAATACTACACCATTAATATGATTTAAACTCTAAGTATTTTAAACCTTTTACTCAGCACGTCTTTTAACATTTGTCAGCATAAATTCCTGTGAGCACGCTCAGTTTTGACTCAGATGACGCGATTTAGGCTGTTGCTGCTGTGTTAACTCAAAAAGTGGATGGACTGGTTTCAACATGTCTTGGCTGTTAGAAAATATCTCAGGTTACAATGGTCAAACTACAGAACAGGGTGGTGTTGCTTTTAGCAGTCTTTTCTTTTACAGCCATGGCTTCGACAGTCCTGCTTAAAACATCAAATGATTTCATAAAGACATTTGGAAATTTAGAAAAGTTGAATGGAAGAAGCTATTTAGAGTTTAGAGTTTTCCAAAGAGACCTAATCAAACAGCATGCAAGCAGAACATAAAATAGATCTCAAGTGAATATTTTTATCCACTTTGCATTATTTTATTTTTGCTTTTAATTCATCAGCTTTCTCCCTTTTTTCTCCTTATGATGCCGCTATTCCTATATGTGAAGTTGCTTTGTCTGTGTATTATTCATATAGTAGTACTAGTAATATTACATTGAGTGTGGCAACTACATTTCTTTAATCAGACATACATATGTGATCTGAAGATTATGGAGTTGGTTTGATATCAGATAGTACCGTCAGCCTGTTACGCTGTGTTTGCATTATCATTCATTGTTCCAACTGTAAGTAGTTTCAGTTGGGGATTTGATTTTAGTCTCTCCAACCAATCAGCAGAGACCAACATATCTGCAAGAATCCAATGTAATTTTAAGTTGACATTGATGCATAGCCATGTCATCATACTGGTTTTGCTGGGCTTTAAGGAGTGGAGCGGAAAAAATTAAAAAGCAAATTCTACTTTTTCTTGGTACTGATGCTGTTTGACTAATACGCCCATGGTGCACACTGGACAGTTTGTTTTAACCGATAAAAACACAGGATCGTGTCACAAGATGTGAGATGAGTCACTGGAGGTCAAAAATTCAATTGTCTGTTTCCAGACAAATGACGGTTAATTATTGAGAATATGAAAAACATGCTTAAAAACTATCAGCATGAAGATATTTCCAGTATTTGTGAATGTGTATGTTTTTGTAGGCTTTTCTGTGAAACCTGATCACTTCATCTTCTTTGATTTTTTTCCCTCACAGAATAAAAAAGTGGATTAAAAACTTTGAGCGTATTATATTCTTAAAATGTAGAAGGAGATTCTTAGTTTTTGGTTTTTTACTCGTGTTCTCGGATAACTCTCAGCTCAAGGTTGCGCCGCATCTCTTTCGTCTGCTTGTTATGACTGTTCATCGTGGTGATTGCAGCCAAATAGCACCAAATCATCTCTTTGTTTGAGGGACTGCTTGGTTATTTACTAAACCAAAGCAATCCTCCTAAAACAAATTGGGAGTCAATGATTTTAACTTTCGTAGAATATTTACATTTTTTAACAAGCAGAACCTTGATATGAGTTGATGTGTAATCAGTGTTTAACTGCACCGGAACTCCAGACACACCATGTGCGATAAAGGAAGCGATTTTTTTCCTTAACCTTGGAAAACCATCATTGTTTTGCTCAATTATTTTGGAATCGGAGCTACAATGTCTCTGTGCAAGATACCTATTATTTTACCTTGTTGTATGAGTGCTTCAGATAAAATGGAGGTTTGATTTCTTTGTTATACATAATGTTCACACAAGTTCAATTTAGCTTCCAACAAAGCTACCCAGTATAGTGTTTTTTTCTTTTTGCACATTTAATAATGTTGCTAGTGGCAAATGCTAAAACGTAGCATTACAGTCGCACAAATAGATTAAAGGTATTTTTATATAGACTATATTTGTTTAGCCTATATGTTTATAGCAGAAATCCTGAGTGTGTTGAAAGAAATTTTATGAAAGCTGGCACTTATAAGAAAATGGAGGCGCTCGTTGTGCTTGCGCTGAACAACATACATACAATTGCTGTGTAAAGACAAAACTAACAAACAGATTCCTGCACAGTGAGCACATAAAGACATTTCACTCCCCCCACTCAGTTTCATTCACTCACGCAGGAAATGGGTTGTTCATTTCACAACTTCTAGAGAATTTCCTGCTTTAATTCCCTCTATTCCCACTACAATAATGATTTATGTGTGTGAATAGCAGCATTCATGTTTCAGGCCAGTGCATGTTAGTTTTACTAAAGTAAGCGTAAGTTTGCTCAGATACCTGGAAATGATGTTTTTTTTCTGTGTCGGCCTGCAGCTGAGACTTTCTTTATTTGCCTCATCATACAGATGAGACTAAATGTCCTCAGAAGACCTATAATCAACTTAATTTTTTCTCTTTTTCTTTTCTTTTTTCCTTTTCTTCTGCCTTCTCCCAAAATTTTCCTTGCACTCTACCTGTAGCCTTTTGTCATCCACGACTTGAAGTCTCTAATGGAAGGAGAGCAGTTCATTAATTGTAAGCAGATACCAGTCCCAGAGCACCAGCAGCAGCAGCACCAGACCTCCGCTCTTCCACCTGTACACGGAGGTGGGTAGTATCAAATTACTCTGTTAAAGAACACCTTTTGTTGCAATGTCCAAAACATGTTGTTTGTCTGTTATTGTTCTGTTTAGTTTTAGGAATGCAATTAGCTACAGCAATGCAGAAGATATTGTTCCTATTATTCCACATTAAAAAATTTTTTTACATTGGAATTAATAGTAATAGCAATTCAAAATATACAAAACAAAGGCTGAAACTCAGACAAGCTCCTTAAAATGAAAATCCCAACTATTCAAACTTCTTCATTTACCAGTTTCACCCAGTGTTGTCAATGTTTGTTTGTTTTTTCACATAATCAAGATAATTATTAAAGCACACATATTAACCCCAATTCATTGCATTAGTTTTTCTGGGGAGAAAAGTGCAGTTTTTACATTTTTCAAGTCCAGTTTTACTGGTGCTGATAAATTATGTTACCTATTCTCAATGGTACCACTGTATCTTCTGTCATATTCTCTTCATCGGTCGATAATTGTATTGTTATTTTCTAAAAGTCTTGCAGAAAAATGGAGATGGATGAGGATCGAGAGATCTAGAAAGACACAAAATTCAGCAATTATCTGTTAACTCTTTGTTATTTTTAGCTTCTTATATAGTTAGCTTCTCTGTTTTTCTTGTACTCCTCCAACTAAATTAAGTACCTTCTCTCACATATCAGGCTACACGGAAACGCACCCACTGTCAGAGAGTGAGGTTATGAGAATGGCAGTCTTCGGTGGACAGGGAGAAGCAGACACTGTGGAGCTGCGTTTCTTCCAGAGCTGTCAGTCTCGTTCAGCAGAAGCAGTGAGAGAAGTGACAGAGTTTGCCAAAAGTATCCCTGGATTTGTCGATTTGGATCTAAATGATCAGGTGAGATTCATCAGTGGTTCATCCGTTCGGTCCTGATTGTTGTGGAAGATTTTTTCTGTTCTAAAACAACTTTAAAATAAACAGTTTTGGACAATTTCAATTCAGAAAATGATCAACGTAAATAAGTCGACATAATGGTTAGCGAAGCTCATTGCTGCTTGCAGTTCTAGATTTTGAATGAAAATGAAGTTACGACCCGACTATCATTTCTACTAAACTAAAGATCTTGCCAGATTTTGATACAGTCATTGTGTTCTTTATTTTCAGGTTACTTTGCTGAAGTATGGTGTGATTGAGGTTTTGATCATCATGATGTCGCCTCTGATGAACAAAGATGGGACCCTCATCTCCTATGGACAGATTTTTATGACGCGGGAGTTCCTCAAGAGTCTCAGGAAACCTTTCTGTCAAATGATGGAACCAAAGTTTGAATTCTCCGTCAAGTTTAACACGCTGGAGCTGGACGACAGCGACATGGCCCTGTTTCTGGCTGTTATCATTCTCAGTGGGGGTGAGTGTTTTTATTATTGTTTGTTTTACTATCTGCCCCCAGTTCACCTCTCCTGACCTTCGGAGGAGGAATCTGGATATGTGAATGGTTTGGAGCACTTCTCTTAAACCTCCTAAAACACTCACAGATTCATTGCGTCCACTGTTGGACGTTTAGAGTTCAGATTTGATTATGAGTATATCAGCACTTTATTGGTGCTGATATACTCATAAAAGAAAGCGTCTGCAGGTATACAGACATGATTAACATGGCATCTGTTGCACTGATGTGTTGAATGAACCGTTTTTCCATATATGGCAAGAGCATGATTGCATACATAAGATTAGCCTGGGGGCGGCTAATGGTGTCGACAGATTTTATTGACAGTTAAAATCTCGCCTCGGGTTCTCGTTCAAGAATAAATAACCCTTGCTGACCACATCGACCCAAGTAATTTGTCATCCAGATTTTATTATCATTGCAAGCTATTGCTAACATTACAGCAAGCGATTGCACCACAGTCTCCATTTTAGTCTGGAAATGCAACCACATGAGATCACTCACATTGCTCCCTCTGGCCTAATATTTCTAATAATTGTTTTCTGTATGTGCACGATGAAACAATTTCAAAATTGGCTTGGATTTTAAAACGTCTGTAGTCTGAGTTTAGACTTTGAGTTAACAGGACTGACACCATTATCGGTTAATATCTGTCTATTAAAGTGATGCTGCACACAGCTTAACCTTGCTTTGCGTAACAGCTGGAAGCAGGGAGAAATAGCTGTTCTGGCAGTGTTCCTTATTGAGGTAATCATGGCTGGCTACACAGTGAGAGGGATTGTGAAAATGTAATCAGTGGAAGCTATTGCATGTGTGCAACCCCCCGAAAAAAAAGAAAAAAGGGAAAAAAAAAGCACAACAGCATGTAGCAATACGTTAAGTGTATGTAGAAAAATTGTCTTTAACACATGCAGAAAACCCATCAAAGATCAGCCAGCACCGAGAGTAGCTGCAGTGCACAGTTCAGTGTTTTTAACACATGGTTGACTCCACTACAAATCTTGGTCACATTGGGTGGTGCAGCGCAGTGGTTCTAACTGTTGCCTCACGGGAAGAAGGTAGTCATTTGAACCTCTTGGTCACCCTGGGCCTCTCTGTGTGGAGGGTTCCCTGTACAAGTTTCCTCCCATAGCCCAAAAACATGCATGCTAGGTTAACTGGTGAGTCCAAACTGGTCGTAAATGTTCATGTCAGAGCGTCTGATTGGCACAAGTAATAGTTGTGCCAATCAGACGCTTACTAAGCCTTACAAGCCTTACTAAGCGTGCGCCACATATGCGTGACATTGCCCCCTTGTTGGTAGCTACAACATGCATACGTGGGTCTGCAAAGTTCTATGTAGCATCTACTAATGCACTACTGTGTCAGCTGCTTAGCACAGTAAGAATACCATGATCACCTACCAATAAAACCACTTGTGCAATCTCATTTTTACGCCTTTCTGTTTCTGTACAGAGCTAAGCTAACCGCTTCCTGTTTCCTTGCCGATATATATTAAACAAATACAACACTGGCGACCCCATTCTCAGCTCAATATTTGGCAAAAATGAAACAAAAATACTTTTTTATTTTAAATATTTAAAAAAAAAATCATGATTCCAAGGTTATTTCATGTTATCGCTGTGCTTCTGCCAGACAACGTGAATTTAATTTACATCCATGTGTATATAAAGTAACATAGTTAACATAGTTAGCTGCTCCAAGTAAATCCAAGTTATCAGTTCTCTGTGTTTAACACACTATCTCCCGCCAGCCTCGGCCCACTCATAGATGTATTGGATGTTTTTGGGAAGGGAGTCTAGCAGAACGGCAGTAAACGGCAACTGCATCACGTGCAGGGAGATTTACAAACAGCAAGTTGCATGTTGATGACAACATTTTGACTCACTGTATCTTAAAGAGAAAAAAAAGGTGAGGTTTCACTGGCAACCACATGAGCAACTAACAATCACTCAGTCGAGTCGTTTTTATACAACTTTGACATCTTTTAACAAACATTTTTGTTCTAGTAATATCACAGTAAAGCAAGCAGGGACCTAAGGGTTTAAAATCTAAAATGTTAACAAATCAGACCAGCTTGTGAACACTTGAGCCTCACCCTCTTATGTCAACAGATTCTAACTGCTTAGTCTAGTATTGGTGATTATTATAGTGCTGCTTGATAAAAACCTGACCTTGGATAGCATGATGATTAAAATTAAACGTTTTATTTAAATATTAACCTAAATGACAAATATTATCTCTTGAAATCGAGATAAGTATTCTTAACTTAAACTGAGATGTTTTCTGCCAGTGAATGTGGATAATGTTTAGTTATTTGCACCTCTCCATCCAACGTAAGTTTTAAACTTTAGGTCATTTTCTATCGGTTTTATTTCTCTTCTTATGCCAATTTAAATTTTCATCTACCTGTTTTAATGGATTTTGGATATATTGCGGTCAGTCTCTCATTTATCCTCCTTATCTCTGTAATGTGTCCAGACCGGCCAGGCCTGCTGAATGTGAAGCCCATCGAGCAGCTTCAGGAGACGGTGCTTCATTCACTGGAGTTGCAGCTGAAGCTAAACCATCCAGACTCTCTGCAGCTGTTTGCCAAGCTGCTCCAGAAGATGACAGACCTGCGTCAGATAGTCACCGATCACGTCCATCTCATCCAGCTGCTTAAAAAGACAGAGATAGACATGTGTTTGCACCCGTTGCTGCAGGAGATCATGAAGGACTTGTATTAGAATTCAACAGGAGAAGAGGACACGTACAGAAAGGGGTAAAGAAAAATACAGTGCTGTGCAAAAGTCTTGAGTCACCCTTGATTTAAGAAGTAGGTTAGCAGTTTTATTGAAACATCTAAAAACACACATGGGAACATGTTATATAAATAAAAAACAGAGTGTGTACTTTAAGTAGTTCTCTGGAATAGCTCTCCAGGCTTCTTGAAGGGCATTCAAAGCTCTTCTTTGGATGCTGGCTGCCTTTTGTTCCATTCTCTGTCAACATGATCCCACACTGCTACAGTGATGTTAAGATCAGGGCTCTGGGGGAGAATAGTCCATGATAATGTGGTGATGTTCAATCATGTGTTTTTCTATCCAGGTATGCTTTTACTACATTGGCAGTGTGTTTGGGATCATTGTCATGCTGTAAAATTAAACCATTGCCAATCAAACACTTTCTAGATGCCTTTGTATGGTAGATCAAAATCTGAGCGTAATTCTCTGCGCTCAAAATTCAGTTTTGACAACATCTCCTCCAACACCATTGGCTGAAATGTCGCCCCAAACCATGACAGAGCCTCTGACGTGTTTTACAGGTGGTTTTAAAGATTCACTGTTGTGCCTCTGTCTTGATCTACAAACTGACAAGGACAATGATTTGAACCAAAAAGTTTAAGTTTGGATTCATCACTCCATTAGACTGGTTGCCTGGATTTCAGTCCGTTTTTTGTGTAACTTTCTCCTTGTTCCCCTTTCTTAAGAAAGTCTTTTTCAATGATGGCCATTTCTGATGAGGCTTCACTGAACAGTAGATGGATCAGCTGAAGGTGCAGATGCATCTCTCAGGTCTTGTGTCAGGTCTTTGCTGGTCTTTTCCTATTTCTTAACATACATTTCATCTGCTGTTTTTTAGGCCTGCCACTTCTTCCTTTGTCCTGCACTTGTTCTGTTTCTTCAAAGTTTTTAAAGACATACTGCACAGTTTGCTGAGATATGCCAAGCTTTCAGCTAACAGCACTCTTGGAATCACTTTGGTGCTGAATTTTATTTTATGCCTGTCAGACTGTCAAACTTACCTTTAGCATTTTTATACATTCAACTAAATAAAGTATGCACTTTTGCAACGGGCTGCTGGTAGCAAAGTGACTAAAGACACATTTTCTTGGTTGTTTGCTAACTTGTCTGTAAAGTAGACAATTGCTTATCCTTACAGTTTGTTGTTTTTTTTTAATCCTCAATAGTAAGTGTTGAACAAACAAAACAAAAACATTCCTCTGAAAAGAACCAGGTATAATGACTGGACTACAAATGAGTGACAAAGCAGTCAATGTCTACAGAAAAACTTGAACTAAAACTAAAGAAATTCAGAAAACCTGGAGAGCAATTGCTCAAGACCACTTGACCAAATTACAGGAAACTCTGGCTCCTTCAAAGTAAAATATGGAGAAATGAGAGTGACTGAAGACTTTTGCACAATACCATAAAAGAGAATGAAAAGAGATTGCTTTTAAAATTATGAGTTGAGATTAAGCACTTTGTGCTCTGTGTATGTGTTTTGGTTATAAAGTCATGTAACCAGACAGACTGACTAACTGAAATTGAGAAAGAGATGAGGAAGACGAGGAAAACAGAATTCAGGGAAAGAAATGCAGAATCTGAGTATTAGATCTTGTCTAGACAGTCTGCATGTGAATAACTTGTGGTGCACAGTCATTTTAGCCTCTGCTGAGCCTGAACCCTCTGCTGAGCAGGGTGCCAACTTAAATATGAAACTACCACCTATTGCACCAAAAGTAGCGTCTGGGACAAACTGAAAGTGAGGGGATTTTCTTACTGGCGAGCTCGAGGGTAAAATTGTGAATGATCAACACAGCCAGCTTCAAGTGCCTCAAGGAGAAATGTATCACTGTGAATATATGACACCATGTCTCATACAATACAGTATGTGTTGTTCGTGTGCAGCTTATCTACACGGTCAATTGCAGCCATCATAAGCAGCACCAGCAGCAGTGTGTACGTGCTTCAATACCTCTGTGAAGACGCACAAATACATGAATGCTTACACACACGCTAAAGCAATGCTCAGACAGTCCTTTTCTGTCTTGGCATCAGGGTGAAGGTGCTATCTCTTTTTAATCAGCTTTAACCAAAAACAGAAATCAGATTATTGCCTTTAACATATTTTAGACGCCTGCAGAAACTGTGAGAAACTGTTGAGCTGACCAAATGCAAATTCCCATGATGATGTTTGCTGTTTGCTGAAAAATAAAAGTGTATGTGCCATATTGTGCCTTCAAGAGTTTATCTTTAGCTGTTTTTTGTTTTGTTTTTTGTGAAGTTAATGTCATTTTAAAAACATTATATATATTATACATATTACATGTATGGTATGACTTTTTTTTAATTGTCAGATACAATTGATTTTTTGGCCTTGGTTTTATTTCAGATTCTAAAATACTGGTTTGAGTTATAATTTTTGCTAAGAAATGATTTTGTATGTGTGGACCAAATCTACTATATCTGATCCATCAAATGTTGTTTGTGCAGACAAAAAGAGTGGACTGATATGTTTGTGGGGAAACCGAATAAAGAAGATGTAAATAAAATATTTTTTAACTTTTTACTTGAAGCCTGTCTTTTCTTTAAAAGCTGTGGAAGCTTGCTCACACATGTTTCACCAAAAACCATTTTTAAATACTATACTTCCTAAAGGCATTCCAGTCATTCAGACTCTTGGAAATCTGTTTTACAGTCATTACATCAGCTGCTCCTCGGTGTCTATTACCAAACACACACACGCCCTGTTGGAAAGATTGCAACACATGAACTATGTTGCACTGTGCCGGAAGACCAAAGTCTGTGGATACAAATATGAACAGCAAGCAGGGAAGTGGTTTTACTTTTTTAGAGTTCTGGTTTTTTTGGTTCTGTTTTTTTTTCTTTGCTTTTTTTTAGGTGGCATTACATTTTGTCTCTTTGTTTTGACAGACAAGAACAAAACAAAAAAGGGTGTGTGTGTGTGTGTCAGGGGGAAACTTATAGAAATTCTTGGAAAAATAGGATTGAGATGGGATCGCGTGCGACAACAAGGTCAAACTCAGGACATCAATTATTAACCCACTCGGACATCAGGTCAACTCGATGCCTGGCGCAACTTCACAAAGCTCTCTGACTGGCTGGCTCTTTGCCAAACAACAGCTCACAGAGTGTGTGATCACATGGTCACATGCAAGGGGTTAATCTCGGTGACAAAAAAACACTCTTAGGGGTCAGTCCCTACAAAGTTAACACTGTTAACATTGGTTAATATATTATAAGTTCTTAAACTAAACAGGTAAAATAAACAACATATGCTACTGAAAAGTTAAACTGAGACATAAAAATGTTATCTGTCTCCGTGTACAAATATGGTATTTTTCTTATGTAATTAATGAACTTCAGTCTTTATTTATCAGCCTTTAACAGTTAAACAACTACTTTTGTCAGTGAATCAGACATGCTTATGATCATCATCTACACCCTGCCTCTTTATGAGAAATAAAACCATGATTTTTCTTCTTTTTTACTTCCTTAACATGCCTACACATACACAGAAACGGGCTATTTGTACTGTAATAACTAGTTATACGTGTAGTATTTTTGTATATAGGAACTTTATAATCCAGCTGATGAGCTGTTTCCTGGAAACCAGTGGCCTCTGCTCTTTCTCTTTCTGACTACCCTCAAGCGCAGTCTTGTCGTTGTGGGCAGGAAATAACCCTAAATTATTAATGTGTCACACCCTTAAACTATAAAATATACAGTTGTGGTCAGAAGTTTACATACACTCATCATGAGCATAAAAGCCATGGTAATTTGTGGCTTTTAATAATTTCTCTGAACTGTCCTTTTTGATGGTACAACATGCATCTTTGACCTTTGACCTTACAAAAATAAGAATTGGGTGCACAAGTTTGAATTAATTTTGGCTCAAATATATGCATACACTTGCTTAAATCTTTTAATGTGATGCTGAAAACTCAACAATGTGTTTTGACTTGACAAGGCTTAGACCTGTTAAATTCTCATTATGCCAGACCACAGACAAATTATTTTGTTTTGGCAGAAAAAGGATTTGTTTGACAGAACTTGATGGACTGATTAATAATTAGAATAATAAAAAAAAGTCCAATGAACTCAGTAAAGAGCAAAGAGGGAAAACTTTAGATTTACACAGGTTGGGAAGGTGTCTTGGAGCCATTTCTAAACAACTGCAGATTCCAAGATAATCAATTCAAACTATTGTACACAAGTACAAGTTATTTTGATGTGTCACGACTTTGCACAGACCTTGAAGAAGACCTAAACTATCCCCCTCAAGTTAAAGGAAATTGGTCAGGGTGTTGAAGAACAAACCAGTACCACCAAGGCTCAAACCTGCCATGAACAGGAAATTCTGAAACACCGGTGTCTACGTCAACAGTGAAGCAAGTTTTACATTCCCATTGCATCGGCCTTGAAAGATGCCTTGGCTCCAAATCAACACCTTCAGGCTCGCCCAAAATTTGCAGCTGAAAAAGCAAAGTGGCTTCTGGAGAAAAGGGTTATGCTGATTGACTTTTTTGGCCACAAAAGGTGAAGTGAGCAAAAGTGAGATTTTTAAATTTAAGAACACTGTACCAGCTGTCAAGCATGGTGGTGGTAGTATCATGCTTGGGGGCTGTTTTGCAGCCACTAATACTGGTACATTGCAAGTGGATGAAATAATAAAGAAGCGAGAAAACCTCCAAATTCTTCAGCTTCATAGCCAGTCAATAACTAAACAAGACAATGATCCCAAACGCACATAAAAACTGGTTTTGAAATAGATAAACCAGGCTAACCCTAAGCTTCAATTAAGTATAATTCATTGTATTTATATGGCGCCAAATTTATATTGTAAAGTGAAGACCCTACAATAATACAAAACACCAAAAAAAACCTCAACAATCAGATGACCCACTATGACCAAACACAGTGACAGTAGGAAAGAAAAGATCCCTTTTAACAGGAAGGAACCTCTGGCAGAATCAGGCTCACGGAGGGGCGGGGCCATCTGCTGTGACCAACTGCAGTTGAGGGGAAGAAGACAGGACAAAAACACATTGTGGAAGAGAGCCAGAGATGATTGAGTAACTAATGATTAAATGCAAAATGGTGATTAAAGACATAGAGAGTTAAAAAGTGTGGTGAAGACAAAACACAGTGCATCATGGGAAGGCCCCAGCAGCCTAGACTTATTCCAGCATAATAAAGGGAGGATTACGGTCACCTGGCCCAGCCCTGACTATAAGCTTTATCATACTGTAAAGGAAAGTTTTAAGGCTAATCTTAAAAGCAGAGGGAGTGCTTGTCTCCTAAATTCAAACTGGGAGTTGGTTCCACAGAAGAGCGGCCTGAAAACTGAAGGCTCTGCCACCCATTCTACTTTTAAAAGCTCTAGGAACAACGAGTAAGCCTGCAGTCTGAAAGCAAAGTGCTCTATTGGGGAGATACCGCACTATAAGGTCTTTGAGATTATCCAAGACCTTGTGTGTGAGGAGCAGAGATGGTTACAGTAACGCGTTACTTGTAACGCGTTACTGTAATCTGATTACTTTTTCAAGTAACGAGTAAAGTAAGGGATTACTATTGCAAAAACGGTAATTAGATTACCGTTACTTTCCAGTAGGAACGCTGCGTTACTGCGTTACTATAACCGTGATTTTTTGCGAGAATGTCTCATGACAGTGACGTAAGCGAGTGCGCAGTTAGTGACAACAGCTGTGTGCAGATCAACAATGGATCGCATATCGATTGTGGGAGAGAGTATGAGCGTGCAGTGTTTAAAGCGTGGAAGTACTGACCTTACTTTGAGTTTGATTCCATAAAAAGTGACAAAAACATTAGAGTCCATCGTGCATGGGAAGAAAACTTCTTTTTACAGCGAAAAAAACCCCCTAAACTTCCAAGCAAGCACCGAGTGCGCAACGACGTCAGAATCAGAATCAGAATCAGAAAGGGGTTTATTGCCAAATGTTGAGCAGGTTTACAACATTAGGAAATTGCTGCGGTGCTTCAGTGCAAACATAGTGTCATAAATAGCACTTAAATAGACATGAAAAAATAAAAGTAGGGATAAGAATTAAAAGTGCTACGTAGAAAGATATGTGCATGAGCTATACATGAGATATATACATGAGAATAAGAATTAAGAGTGCTACGTTGAAAGATATATACATGAGTGCAGGTGGTGATCAGTGCCAATCATGGAATGATGCAGTGAACACAGCGTAGGGTCATGTGTTAGTAGCGGGAACAGTCATATGGTTATTGTTCATGTGTCCAACAGCAGAGGGGAAGAAACTGTTCTTATGGCGAGAGGTTCTGGTGCGAATGGACCGGAGCCTCCTGCCTGAGGGGAGCAGGTCAAGGAGGTTCCGGTCCATTCGCACCAGAACCTCTCGACGTAATGGGAAACTCACAGAAACTCACGGATTCTTCAACTGACCGCGGCACACCTGCACCAGGGTAAACCTCCGCCTACCCCACTCCTGCTTTACAGGTGAAAATAGAGCAACAGGACCACTGAGTCTTTGACTTTATTTATGTTCTGCTGTGTTTTACTTGCATCTATTTGAAAGAGTGAGTGTAAACACAAAAAGTATTTTATTTTATGTGCTGGAATGTGTAGAAAATAGGTTTAAATGTTAAACCAATTTATTCAAGTCAGAGAATGTTGCATATAATTACATTTTTGCTTGATGCATAAAGTTAAAAGATTAAAACTGATAAAACAAGTTTAAAAAAAAGAGACTTTTCCATTTGATTACATTTTGTATGATGGATTATGTAGAAAAAGTAAAATTGGGCTGAAAGATCTATTGCTTTATCACCTCTTCAGGTTGTAAATCGTGTTTTTAAAAAGTAACTAAGTAACTAAGTAACTAAGTAATTAATTACTTTTGAAAATAAGTAATCAGTAAAGTAACGGGATTACTTTTGGGGGGAAGTAATCAGTAATTAGTTACTGATTACTTTTTTCAAGTAACTTGACCAACACTGGTGAGGAGAAGGATTTTAAATTTACTTCTGGAATTAACAGGGAGCAACGAAAAGAATATACTTTTTTTTATATGGGAAACATGCACTTTCTCTTTCTAGCCCCTGTCAGTACTCTCACTGCGAAAGCCTGAAATTACATGACATTCATGCCCATAATGACTGTATGTAAACTTTTGACCTCAACCTATATCTATGTATGTTTTTACCAATGGTATAGAAATACATTAGGTAGCTAGACAAAATCAAAGTTCTCCTTTATATCAGTATTATTCTTTTATTGTCTTCAGCTGGTGAATTTAAGTACAACTTAAGCTTTGTTTCTGGCCATTGGGTCAGTTCAGTGGGTTCAGTGTAGCATTATCCACTGAGAAAGATGCATGCATTTTTACCTAAGAAAAAAAATGTAATGTCAAAACCATGGACTCAAACAATATGGCAAGAAATAAACCAGCGATTGATTGGTTGGTTCTCAAGCCGAAAATGTGATGCGATTCTGAAAAGACACCATAGCTGAATCATATGTGTACTAAAGAAAAAGATGTATATCACTTTGGTAAGAAG